TTTATATATATATTTATATATATATATATATATATATATATATATATATAGTGCAGAATGACTGACAGGCAACATATCAATACATACTAATTCAATGTGGAAAATTAGATGTTCATAAAATTGCTTTAAATGAACACTTATTTTACACAACATTAAATAAAATGTCCTAATATTTGAAAAACATATTTGACAAGGTGGTAGATTTTGGAGCAAATTTCTTTCAAGGCTTTGCATGCAGATATTAAAACGTCAGAATATATAATTTTACTCCTGGATGTATAATATTCATTATAATTTAAATAGGCTGTTAGTGCACTTTGGAAAGGACAGACTATTTATCTGATTTATCACATTAAAATATTCATTACAATGTGGGACAGACACACTTATTTCAAGTAATATTACGCTGAATGGCCAAAAAAATTATTCAATACAATTTGCCAAGCCTGTCATGTGCAGATTTCTGAACAGACACACTTCTGTAAAGTAATATTAAGCTGATGTGATCAAAATGGTCAAATTCAAGTTATCTGACAAAATATTCATCACATTTGGACAGATAAGCTGTCGGTAGATTTTGCAACAGACATGTATTTCAAGGATTATTATGTTGATATTCTTAAAATGGCCTAATATTAAATTTGTTTAGCATAAAAAAATACTCGTTACAGTTTGACAGTAGGTTTTGAAATGGAGAAGCATTGTTATTTTAATAGTGTTAAATTGAGCGAATGTTATCGGAATTATCGGTCTGACCGATATATTGCTCTCTCACTAACTTAATCATGAGAGTAATACTGCGAAAGAGCAGCCTGTAACATGTCTATGAATTGTCCAAAAGCGGAACTTTTCCTTCATTCTGCTCACTCAAACCCAAACACATGTGCTGTGCTCTGGCGGCTGAGGATGAAGAGGAGGATGAGGATGAATCCGCGCGCGTCTCACCTTGACCAGGTCCAGCGGGTGCGTGCAGCAGGCGGCTCCGCACGACGCGATCCCCCCGAAATACCAGCGCGACATCCGTTTCTCCGTCATCTCTCCGGTTACCGTTAATCTCTCTCTCTCTCTCTCTCTCACTCTCACTGTCTGTCTGTCTCGTTGCACGCGACGCGCTCTATCCTGACCTGCGCGTGTGGATGATCTCGCTAATCTACCGGTGACTCCGATGAGCGCCAGACATCCTGAGTGCGTGGCGTGCGCGAGCTGACAAACAAAGTTCACGAGCAGCCAATTGCTCGCACGGAATCTGGCACGGCCTCCCGGTGCGCCTGATCCACCTCCAGTCACGCACGCAACACAATGCACACAAAAAGAGAAACTCGTGCATCTGACTGCTCGGCGTTCATTGAGAACGAGCTCTGGACTCTTAAAGAGACAGTAGCCTCTGAGATACTAGACAGAGAGCGCGGAATTACTGCACTGTCACTTTAAGGCCAAACACTTCCTCATTCTTGCTTAACTTCCAGAGCCACTGCTCTGACACAATTGAGCTGCTGGGTAAACATGTTTAGTTAGACAATAAACGTTTGTTCTTCAGAAGTGTAGCCTGCTTATATTCCTATCGAACTGCCTGAATGAGTATCTCTTTATAATGTCCATTTATGATGTATAATAAACATATATAGTGTCAAAATAATCTGTTTGTTCATTTATATTATCCATTAATATTATCTATATGGCACTATATCTATTTTTTGCTTTTAAGGTGGTGAAACCATCCTCAAAACAACTTTGAAATGAGATATCCATAAACTAGTAAATGATTAATAATTATCTTTAATATTTAACTGACTCGTGTGCTAGTGTTGTAATTATCGTAAGAAACAGAGATTGAGAAAATCTGTGAAGAAATGTTGAAAGGTAAAAAAAAATCAGAGATGCTTGTTTTTATTATTAAAAATTATCGATTTTTCTTCCTACCGTAAATATATCAAAACTTAATTTTTGATTAGTAATATGCATTGCTAAGATCTTCATTTGGACAACTTTAAAGACTTAAAATTCAATATTGCACCCTCAGATTCCAGATTTTCAAATAGTTGTATCTCGGCCAAATATTGTGCTATCCTAACAAACCGTCAATGCCATAATAGAAGAATATTTTTTTTTTTGGTTCACCAAAGAACCTTTCACTGAACAGTGCTTCAAATAGCCATTTTCTCATAATATAAATAACATTTTGTGGACTGGAAAAGTTCAACATCAATAAAGTACCTTTATTTTCGAGAGTGTGGGATCTTGGAGGCTTGGGTTTGCAGTAATACAGCTACTGTGACTGAATCATCTATATAGTCATTTCTTAGTCATTTTTCCTCTTAAACCACCAGGGGTAACAAATGAACCTGATTTAGAGCCAACAAACATACCTGCAGGGGTCACTAATGTCTCTGAAGTACTGATGTTGATGAATCCCTCCTCCTCTGATGGTCTGTTTGCATGCAGGGCTTCTGAAGGAGTTCTGTGGGACACGAGCTCATAGTCCTCCAGCATGGTGACATCATCAGAGCAACAGTGGACACTCTGTTTATTGTCCCTGTGCTGTGTTCTGCTATTGTGTCGTGTGATTCCTGCCAACGTCTTAATGCATGCATGCAATGCATGTCCAGTCAACACACATCATTCTGTTATGTTTATTAGACAAATAATGCACAATAACACATCAATAAATAAATCATATGAGATACAATCATTAATTATACTGAGAATTGAAAAATACAAAACAACATGTGAGGCTGTGATAGAACAACAAAATCCGAGTAACCTAATTACTGACCTTCATATAGCACATAAAAGATCCTTCAGAAATCAAAATAAGCTGCGAAAGGCTTGGAAATGTATTCAGATTCAGTGTATGATAGATTCAGATTTCTTAATGCAATTGGACTTTTTAAAAATAAAAACGATGTAATTCACCTTCACGTTGTTCTAAACCAATGTTATTTCATTCTAGCACTCAAAAGTAGAAATGACGAAAAAGCATCAGACAGCACTTTTCCACATGAAGACAAGCTGTCAAGTTTCAATTTTAAAAGTGTCATAGTATCATAACATCGTCTATAACTCTTTCTGTGTGTTGTGAATAAACTGTACTGTATGTTTATGATGCAGCACCTATGGGAGACCAAATACAAATGTCCATGAGAATGGATAATAAAGAGCCAATTAAAATCAAATCAAATTAAAAAGCTATAATAATGCAAAATTCTCCTTTTGCGTTCCACAGAAAAAATAACCACATACAGTTTTTGCACATGACAGTGAGTGAATGATAATATTCCTGCATTTCTGCAAATTAAAGGTGAGCACTCGGACTCAGTTTATCCAGGTTGATGTCTTTTACGCTCTCTTACACAAAGACCTTCTCCGGTTTGCTCTCTGCTGTGGACGGAGGGTTTCCTTTGGTGCCTTTTCCGAAAACAGGCAAGGCTGGAACTCCAGGGGAGGCGGAGCCTAAATACATCAAAGCCCCGCCCACCAGCATCAGCACGGCCACGCCCCATCCCAGATAGAGCGCCGGTCCGAGTTCACGTTTAAGTGGCGCGGCGACGTTCGGGTCGTAGAAATCGCGTATCACGACATACGCGGTCCAACACACCGGCAAAAGGAAGAAAAACGCAGCCGCGAGGAAGAGCGCCGCGCCGACCCGCCCCAGCCGAGCTTTGGTCTCGTGCGCGTCGCCCAGGCAGCGTGTGCACTTGAGCCCGGTCACACTGAGCGGGAGCGCCAGCAGACACAGGAGCAGCGACAGCACGCTCAGGCCCCGGCACATCTGGGCGGAGCCTGAGAGGGCGAGGCCGGAGTCGTAGACTTTACACTGCAGGCGGCCCCACTGCGACAGACACGTCATCCACAGCCCCTCCCACAGCACCTGAGACACCACCAGCTCGTCCCCTACGAACGCCGACACACGCCACCAGGGGGCGGCACAGACCAGGATCCCGAACGCCCAGCCTGCGACGCCCAGGACCAGACCCATCACCTGAAGACCCGTGTTTGCCATGACTAATCGCCAACCGATGATTTATTCACTCTGGAGAAGACAGAGGCAGTTTTTAACACAGGTTTGATTGATTGATTGATTGATTGATTGATTGATTGATTGATTTTTTAAAATTTTTTAATTTCATTTAATTTTTTTTACATCCACAATTAGGTTTGGAAAAGAGTTTTATGATCATCCCTTTAAAATAAAATAAAATAAAAATAAAAATGGCAATAATTCTGTCAGCAGTGCCATTTCAGAAACACTTACATTTTCAAATATTTATTTTATTTTCGAAATACTTCTTTATTTATATAATGCACATTTATATAGTGATCTACAAAGAAATGAATAAAAACGAGATTATACGTTTATTGCCTAACTGTTAAGTTTTGCATCAATTTAGTTAACAACTACTTTCATAATAACAATAAAATTACCCAACATCACTACTGTTGTAAATATTGTAATGTAATAAATGAGAAACTTTTTATAAATAGAATCAAAATTATGCATTATTGATTTTTGCATAATTAGTATTAACTAGGGTGATTATTTATATTAATTACAAACATCATAGCCACTAACATTATTACAGCATTTGAAAATGATGAATTTCACTATCACGGTTAAGTAAAACTGCTTAACTGCTTAAGTAAACTACTACTGTTCAGTAACACTTAAAGTTCCATTAGTTAACACTAGTTAATGCATTAACTATCAATAATTAATTTCTTACAATGTTTATGTAACATTTGTTAATGTTAGTTAATAAAATAAAACTTCATTGTTAATTCATGTTACATTAAATAGTATTAATAGATACAACTTTTTATTTTCAGAATGTACTAGTAAATAATGAAATTACCATTAACTAAGATTAATAATGCTTTAGAAGTATTTTTAATTGTTAACAACATTTTAATAGCTAATGTTAACAAATTAATCTTTAAGTATTAATTAATAAGTATTACCAACATCTTTTCACCTTTTAAGAAACACAAGCATTCTGTATAAACTATATTACTAAAATTAACAGCAACCTTATAAAAAAAAAAAAAAACATTTCAGAGGTATAATTCAAAGACATGATTTTGCAAGATGAAGCTTCTTCAGTACTTACAGTGTCTGAGGAGCGTCTGTGTGAGTGTTGTGCTGTTGTTGGACTCTCATCTGTGCTGTAGAAACACTCTCTTTGTTCTCACATGTGGGAGTAAATCAGCATCTGAGCGCCAGACAATATCATCTCATAACACACACACACACACACAGACAGAGAGAGAGAGAGAGAGAGAGATAGAGAGAGAGAATCATGCAAACATATACACGCACACTACAAATACATACAGTATACTGTATATTCATTAGAAAGCCACATTGCAACTAATAGACAGACATATGTTTTTCTGTTTACACCAAAGCAGTAGGTGGCAGTATGGAGTCATAGAGACAATTCAGCAAATTCAAAACTATTATCATTGTAAAAACAAACTGTAAAAAGTTGTTTATGTGACCTTTTTCAATCACATTTACATGCTACTTGCCATTATTTTGATTATCAATACTAATTATTTTCCTGCCAATGTGTCACTATTCACTTGTAACCCCAAAAAAGTTTGTTGCTGGCACACACACACACACACACACAAACACACACACACACACACACACAGCTGTAAGAAATAAATTTACAGTTACAAATTACAATTTCAAATATTGATTGAAAAGAAAAATACCTCTTATCTCTAAAGTTAATGATCTAGTATTTTGCAGGGTTGGACACAAGCAACTAACATTTCCATTATTTTGTTTCTTTAAATTATTTTATGGATTTTACTTTTTCCCCACATTTTTATGTGTACTAATATGACACATAAATGGACAAGACTAAATAAACATAGGTAGGCCACAGACAAAAACATACAGTTCTGCAAGTTATTTACTTTCTGGTGTTACATGCAGCCAATGGGAGAGGCTGGCCGATTTTAAAGGGGGTCATATAATGCTGCTAAAAAGAACATTATTTTGTGTATTTGGTGTAATGCAATGTGTTTATGCGATTTAAGGTTTAAAAAACACATTATTTTAGTATGACGCAGTGTAGGCTATTGCTTCAGGAAACAGTCCTCATCCTCCATAAAATGTGCTGCACACATCTGAATATTTGGGTTGAAGTGTTCTGGAACAGTGTTGTAAATACAACTTAACCACTGATTTCTAGTCGTGTCCTCTTTTGGAAGACCAAACAAAGTAGTTTCGCTTTCACAACGAAACACACAGCGTCTCCACGACATGACGGCAGACTTTAGTCTTTGCAACTTTACAGATCTTCTTTATGCACCAAGAGCTTGTAACACTCCAAAGAGAAAGGAAAAAATGAAATCGCATCATATGACCCCTTTAATTAATTTATTTTTTTAAACTGTGAGGAAGTGTATATGCTACTCACACTTCCTGTGTCAGCTTCAAACAGACAAAGACAGGAGACTCTGAACTACAAAACAAAACTGCATGGATATAATGTCATCAACACATAGGCCTAAAGGTAAGTCTAAATTAAATAACCTAATGTGATACTCACAGAATACAGCTAGTTTAATACCATACCGAGAAATGAATTATAAACTGTGCTTTTTGTTTCTGGTAGTTGACAGTAAAGCCCTGTGAGGGACTGTTTTCTAAATCCCACTCCTGCTGAATTTTTGGTGAATGTGATTTCACCAAGTACAACATGTTCCTGGATCAGCATCCTTAATAATAAATTATGAATAAATTATGGGTAGGGTTATGTTTATGTGTAGGGATTTGGTTATTTTTGCACAGTTATTTTGATCCAGGATCATGTCTTACTTGGCAAAATCACAGCGACCTGAATTGTTGACCATTACTGCCCAATCCCACCACTTGGGTGTTCCACTCCCGCCTGGACCGCAAATATTGTAATATTGTATATGATTGTTGTGCATCAGGGAGGGTGCATCAATATGCTGGGTATTGACATCACTTTTGAATGAGCGCTCGCTGTTCACTTTCGATTTAAGCACGTGCTCTGAGTAAAGGGAGCACATTTGTGACCCTGGACCACAAAACCAGTCATAAGGGTATTTTTTTATTTTAAATTGAGACTTATACATTATCTGAAAGCTGAATAAATACGCTTTCCATCGATGTATGGTTTGTTAGGATTGGACAATATCTGGCCGAGATACAACTATTTGAAAATCTGGAATCTGAGGGTGTAAAAAAAATCTAAATATTGAGAAAATCATCTTTAAAGTTGTCCAAATGAAGTTCTTAGCAATGCATATTACTAATGATAATACATTTTTGATATATTTACGGTAGGAAATTTACAAAATAACTTCATGGAACATGATCTTTACTTAATATCCTAATGATTTTTGGCATAAAAGAAAAATTGATAATTTTGACCCATACAATGTATTTTTGGCTAGTGCTACAAAACCCATGCTACTTATGAGTGGTTTTGTGGTCCAGGGTCACATTTCACAAGATATTTGTCAATAAGCTCAGGATCTGTTGAGCAGCAAATCCTCCAGCTTGGTCTTGTCAGTCATCTCTCCTTACACTCCAGCTGTGTCCGTGAAATCTGACTCCTGCAGCTGTCAGCTGGTGTTGGATGCAGGGTTGCCAAATCTGTTGTTGTTGTTTTTTTTTTCTTCACGATTGGGTTGTTTTACCCCAGCGGTTGGTTTAAATGTTCAACACGACCTTCTGGGTAGTTTTATTTAACTCAACTATTGTTTAAAAAATTACTATATGGCTGGCTTAAAATAAACCCAAAATAGGTTGTAAATTAAAAATCAGACACATAATTACTAGAGGCATCTGCAGCAATCAAAATGTGAACATTTATTAATAAGCATTTTTTTTTAAAGTTAATTATTTAATTATTAATTATTCAACTCAATTCATTTATTGAACATATTAATAAATGTTAATTTCTAACCTATGTTGGGTTCCTTTTAAGCAAGAAATATAGTCATTTTTAAGCAATAGTTGACTTAAGTAAAACTAACTAAACATAAAAAAAAAAACTAAACATTTAACCCAAGACCTAGATCAAAACAACCAATCATTTGTCCATATTTCACTCAGCACTAGGTAGTTTTTATCCCAGCATTTTTAGAGTGCATGGTTTAACCATAGTAACCATGTTTTTCTGTTTTATCTATAGTAAAAGTAAAACCATGGTTAATTTCCATAAGGGATGTGTATTTTAGTTATGGAAATTACATATTTTGAGTTTTGATATTTAGGATATGGTAATTTCACTACTTTGAGCTGTTTTTGACTGGCCATTGGGCTAGTTTTGTCACGCAGACGTACATTTTCTAACTGAACTAATTGATTTTTACTAAATGATTTCATTTAAAATGAAATAGAAAAAAATTCTGGGGATGAAAAGAAGGCATGTTTAGAATCACAAAAGCATCTAGAGCTCCAGCTAATGACATGAACTGTTTCACAGGTGATTCACAGGATCTGAGGATTGTGCTGCTGGTGGAGGCGCAGCTCTGACCTCTGTTGTTAAAGGAGAGACACTATCTGAAGCTGTAATGGCAGGAGCAGTAGCTGCTGGAAATGCAGCACTGAAATCTGTTACTAGTGGAGCATCGATACCTGCAGCTTTAATGGGAGGGAGGAGCAAGAAATCAAGTTTCAGTTAAAGCAACTGTTTTTCCTTCAGATATCAGTTTCATAATCATTCTAATGCTACACTGACTTCTTATGAGGTGAATGGCTTCTTTTTCTATGCCACGCTGTTTCTTTTTAAAGGGGTCATATGATGCGATTTCAAGTTTTCCTTTCTCTTTGGAGTGTTACAAGCTGATTGTGCATAGATAAGATCCCTGAAGTTGCAAAGACTAAAGTCACAAACCCAAAGAGATATTCTTTATCAAATATTCTGTTACACCAAATACACAAAATAATGATCTTTAAAAAAGCATCATATGACCCCTTTAAATAATGAAAAATGTAAACAGAAAACATTTGGCTGAATTCATGACTGACAATCA